TGTTGTAAATCCATCTATATTTCATATATCAGAATTGACAACCATCAGAATTGACAACCATCAGGAGAAGAAACTTATATATATTTTATTTTTTAAGATAGCGCGGACATGAATAAAGAACATTCAGAGAATACAGCAGAAAAGGATAACCAGACGGTACATACGCTAACACAGGTTAATAAGAACATTAGTATACATCCAGCTAAAGGCAGCCGCAAGCCAGAGATTAATAAATCGCCAAATTACCTCCAGACCAATTCACTCATTGACTTTTACATTAGACGTGGTGGCGTTCCTCCCTGGAACCACCACATAGTGAATTCACTATATGCACTAAGTGTAAACAAAGTCGACGGCCCATATAATAAAAGTGTGGAAGTCATGAGTCGAAGCGCGATGAGGATAATGAAAGAAGAAAAAATTACCTTCGCCAAGAAACAAATCGAAATCACCCAATTTACAGAAAATTCCGGGAACCAAATGGTCAGCATACAATGTGACGTACTCACAGAAATAACCTCACCCTACGTAAGACAATGGCGCACAAAAATTTCCGACATCATCCAGATATACAACTTGACTAAGGATCTACGCAAATTAATTCGCTTCCTAGTCCCAGAAGAAGTCCATCCCAGTCTGGAAAAGCATCACGCTACAGATGCGCTACTCGATCAAGTATGCTTCTTCTATGAGAAAACAACACGTTTGCGCATAGGGATCGTACCCAAACAAAAGGACTACATCTTCCTTCAGTGCTATTATGAAGCCATTACGGTCTACACAAGACTACACAACTTCGTAGAGGTCTCTCCAGAGATATTCGAAGAACAACTTCGGCAGCGTTTCATCGAAGGACTCACCTCAGAAACCAGAAAGAAATATCTCATCACCAACGATACAAATATTAAAGACTATATCAAAAATCTAGAAGAACTAGAAGACCAATTACTCGATGACATACGAAAAGAAGCAGCATATCGTTCAAAGAAACCAGCTCAACACAGCACATTACCCCACAACGCAGGAGGTACTCAGAAAATATGGTGCGAAGAACATCGCAAGAAAGGATATCACACGACAGAAGAATGCAACCTTCGTAAGAGAAAACAAACTCAAGCAAAAAAATAATCAGCTCAGTTCTACAACTACAGAACAGTCACTCAGACAACAACACAGAAGTACTACCAACTCTACAGATTCAGTATCAGACTCACACTATCGACATACTGCTTGACACAGGATCAACCCTCAACAGCATAAGCACAACCCTCGTGGAACAACTACAGTTACTCACAACTACAGACACAACAAGAGACATGGAAGTGACAGGCATACACGGACGGCAAAACTATCCTTATATAACAACAGAGATACTAGCATGGATACCTCTATTACAAGAGAATGTTAAAATCGGATTTCATGTTTTCCCAGCTTTAAACATAGCATTAGTGGGATACGCATGGATAAATCGTTATCTAGGAAAATTTTTAAATCCTTACCTACAGCTACAGAATAACAACGACAAACATACACACCGTCCTACAGAGACGTTACACACAAAAAATCAAACACCTACAACTTTACTACAAGTGACAGAACAGGTTAACATAGCGCTGGAAACACCAGAACCGCATAAAACAGACATAGAAGAGAAAACACGCGAAACATCACTACTAACCCCAGAGTTAAAACAGAAACTTATCCAAATGATAACAGACAGTACCAAACAGCTACAACCGAACAAGGCTATCAAAGACGTACAATATAAGATGACACTTACCAGTAACAAACCCATCTTTCTCAAATCATACCCTGTACCAGACAAATACAAAGACACAGTATTAACACAACTACAAAACTTAAAGGAACGGCATATTATCGAAGAAGCCACAGACAACGCATTTGCTTCACCAGCTTTCATCATACCAAAGAAGAATGGTAAACATAGACTAGTCGTAGACTACAGACAGGTTAACACAATCACCGCAGACATAGCATGTATCTTTCCAGACATCTATACCATATTACGAGAAATACCGTACGGCAACAAATACTTTACACAAATCGATCTAAAAGACGGATATCACCAAATTGAAATGCATCCAGACAGTAAACCATACACAGGATTCGCAATTACCGGACAACACTACATCTATAACAGAATGCCATTCGGATTAAAGAATGCACCTGCATATTTTCAGAAAATCATATACCAACGCATCGGAGACTTACCTTTCGTAAAAGTATTTCTAGATGACATTCTCATCTACTCACCAACCGCAGAAGAACACTTGCAGCATATACAACAAGTACTCACCCGATTCCAACGATACAACATTATACTCAACATCGAGAAAAGCAATTTCTTCCAGTCACGCGTAATATACTTGGGCAACATCATCTCTGAAAAAGGAATACAGGCAGATACTCAAAAATTGGACATTTTTAAGAAATCAAGACCGCCAAAAACAGCCAAAGAGCTAATGAGCCTCATAGGAACTATCAATTGGTTCAGACCGTACATACCAAACCTATCCATCAAGCTAGGCATACTGAATAAGAAACTGAAAGGAGGAAAACGCGAGGATATAAAGAAAAATGCTATTTCATGGTCACCAGAGGACGAAGAGTGTCGTCAAGACATCTTCAACACAATCCAGAGACAAATAGTACTATCTAATCCAGATCCGACCAAATCATTCCACTTATTCACGGATGCATGCGAAACAGGCATCGGCGCAATACTAACACAGACAGACAGAATTATCGGACTATACAGCAAAACGCTAATACAATCAGAAATGAACTATACTACAAAGGAGAAAGAATTATTCGCCATTATCAAAGCCTTGGAACACTTCAGAATCCAAATACTAGGCAGGCACATCATAGTACACACAGATCATCGGAATCTACTAACAACACAACCGCTAGACAAATCCAGATCCGAACGATGGAAAATCATGACTCTAGAATACGACATACAACTCGAACACATAGCAGGAAAGAACAATACAATCGCAGACTATTTATCAAGAGCTGAAAATAAAATATACACAACCACCGAACAATTACAGACAACTAACACTGACTCACTAACAGCAGTACTACAGCAAATGTCAAACACAGACGACATCAAAGAAAGAATTAGAATCATAGCAGAATATCTAGGACACCCAGGAACCGGAAAATTATACCGAACACTAAAAATACATTGGCCTGGCAATCAACTACTCAAAGAAATAAAAAAGTACAGAAGGAACTGCATATCATGCCAACAGAACATCATCGGCAAAGCAATCACACCAACAAGTCTAGGAACTTTATCTACAGCAACACCATTTACGGACATAAGCTCGGACATATTTGGTCCATTTACATTAGCGACAAACAATCGAAAGTACTACATCATCACAATCACAGACAGATGCACTCGATGGTCAGAAATAGCACATACAAAGCTCATTACAGCACAAGCTATCATAAAACAACTACAACAGTGGATAAATACACATCCCAAACCAATTACAATACTACACGACCGAGGATTACAATACACATCCAAAGAGACACAAGAATTTTTAAAACAACATAACATACGATCAATACATACAACACCGTACAATCCAACAGGAAACAGCATCTCAGAAAGAATCAACCAAGAAATCAAATTCATATTATCACACGACAGTACAGCAGGCATAAAATCAGCCATTAACAAAATCCACAGGCGATTAAACTACACATATCATACAACACTACAATGTACACCATTCGAACTCGTACACCAGTACCATCCACTCGATCCACAGAAGAAAACAATCGACATACACGAGAAATTAGCAAACATTCAGAAAAGAATTCACACGCAACAGGAGCTGAGCAAACAAAAGCGTAACAACATTCAACGTACACCAAAAATCGGCGATGAAGCCTACTACAAAAACTACACACAAGGAGACAAACTAAGCAAACGATGGCAAGGACCCTGTATTATCACAAACATAAACTCATCAGGAACCCAAATAACATTACGTCATACTCAACATAACAAAGAAATCACCTGCAACCCACACCAACTCAGATTAGCATAAAGCATCTTCTTGCAACAATCTAACGGGGGCAGAATGTTGTAAATCCATCTATATTTCATATATCAGAATTGACAACCATCAGAATTGACAACCATCAGGAGAAGAAACTTATATATATTTTATTTTTTAAGATAGCGCGGACATGAATAAAGAACATTCAGAGAATACAGCAGAAAAGGATAACCAGACGGTACATACGCTAACACAGGTTAATAAGAACATTAGTATACATCCAGCTAAAGGCAGCCGCAAGCCAGAGATTAATAAATCGCCAAATTACCTCCAGACCAATTCACTCATTGACTTTTACATTAGACGTGGTGGCGTTCCTCCCTGGAACCACCACA